TTTATGGGGAACTTAAGGAATCCAGATTTTGACTATTCCATCGTAAAGAGCATCACTTAAAACCTATAAATTGACAAAAGAAACTTGACGGCAAACACTCGAAACCCAAAAAAAATTCAATTTACTCTCATTAGTGCCTGAGGGGGACCAAAGGCACAAATTTTGGAAAAAAAACATTTTCTGCTAAATATACATCATTGAGCTCAGTTTCGTACGTAGATTACGAATATCGTATTGGTTTTGAATACAAATTCTAAAAATTTCGCTTGATTCCTGAGGGGGGCCAAAGGGAAGAATTTATGACGAAAAAGCTTTTTTTCCGAAAATCACATCATTCGATTTGGCTTTGTACGTAGATTATGAATATCATATTTATTTTTAATAGCGTTTTGTAAGCAGCTACTTTTTTAATTGAAAAACCTTCCTCCACTCACCCTCACTTCCTCCTCTCCCCTCCCTCCGCCTGGTGATCGCTTTACATTTTCTTGGAGTCATATGCCATGCAAATCCGTTTTTTACATACATTAAGAAAACAAACCATGGTTTTAATGACTATTTTTTTATTTGAAAAAACAAAAATTAACAAGAAAAAAACAAGTAAAAAATAACAAGTAACAAACATAACAAAAACATACCGGTGATCGTCGTTTTCATCTTCATTTTCACCTAAAAAAACAAAAAACAAAGTAGTCTTCTACCTACTTGGAAAGAAACATTCTAAAAGAAAAAAAGAAAACGATGTTCAACAAAAACTGTTCAATAAGCATCGACTCCAGAAATATTGTTGAATTCGATGTCATCGACATCTTCGTCTTCTTCATTTTCACTTTCATCTCTGAACCAAAAAAACAAATTAGTCTTCCACCTAGTTACTATGTTCATGAAATGTGCGGATTTGCACATTTTCATGAACATATATTTGGCTAAGTAACCACCAAAAAACGATTTTTTTCTTCGGTATTGTGGAAGAGAAGCCTTTGCATGCCGCCACGAACTTTCGATTGTGTTTGTGTGGGCTTCAGTATCAGAATCCACAAACTCAATCGAATGATTGACCTTCAGATGTTGGAAGCCCTCGTTGTTCAAACAATTATATGCCTGTTTAAGGTAGAAAAAAAACACAGTTGTAGTTAAGTGACACTAAAATCTTATTAAAATATAGTCATACTTTCCAGCAATCCGACATTATCGTAGTTCCCGGTTTAATCCATGTCTTGATAATTTCAAGCAACGTTTCTTTGTTCGACTGGAACCATGAAACAACGACCTGTCGATCGCTCTATTCCACCGAAAACCCACTGACCCTCGACCCGATGACCACGATAATGCTTTCTTCGACCAAACTTCGACTTGTCAATTTCAACTATACTCCCATTCCCACCTGAATAAATCCAGGATTCAATGAATGAGCAAGTGTAAAATCCTAAACCCGCATTCTTACCTAACTGTTTCGCTTGACCAATCATTTCATCAAAAACTACTTCACAACAAAACGATGACCAGTCTACAGTAATTCTTTTCGATATACGCATTTCTTTTTCAATTACGCTGAGTGCGGTGTTATGCACCCACCAATGTACAAAACCACAAATTTGAAACAGGCCCAAATGAGACCTTGCTAAAAACGTTTCTTTTCTCACCGACGTACTAAAAATAAAACTACATTAAGATACTTTCAACAACGGATAATAGCTTTCGTACCCATAATTACACTTCAACGGCTTCTTTTTTGGTTTTGAGATCATTTGAGAACACTTCCATTTAAAACCATCAATACTCGACTTATCTTTATACAGACCTAACTCATGTCCATTTGGACATAAATACTCACCTTCTTTGGGCAGTGTCCCCCACTCTTGAAGTTTCTCTATCAAGTCCTTACCATCATTTTCTGTGCTCAATTTATATAAACCAATTAGGTTGATCTCGTTTTGAGCCATCTTAAACTACTACTGTTCTTTATTAATCACCTAAATATAATAAGATATCTAAAAGAAATAAGTTGTCATAAATACAATAAGATGCCTGTGAGATTTACGAAGCTGTATTCTCACCCAGGTATGCTTGGGTATTTTCTGGATTTATCTATTGGCTGTATTCTATTATAAATAGGAGTTGGCAATGCATCTACTTTACTTTTTCGCTCCCTAATAACCC